CATATCACCAGAGTTCATGCCAGCTTCACTGAACTTTCCTCTCCCATATTTTGCTCTGGATCTGTCCAAACGGTGTCTCTGTTCCAACAGGGACTCATAAGGTTTGCTTCCTTTAACTTATGTGGGTGGCCTCTGCGCCTTAAAATGATTGGATGCAGTATAGGATCCCACTCTGCATTTCTCCTCAGTCCCTATTTCTGTCATCTTTCCAACTGGTGTTTAACCCAATTCTTTATCTTTTCATTTAATGCTCAGAGTTCTAATATTGTCTGTATGTATTTCCCTCCCCACTTCCCCCCAGGTCTCCATTGGAAAGCTATTGGGCAGAGTGTTCCATTAGGATGCCTTATTATCTCTATGGCTCTTCTTTCTTTCTTCTTTAATGTCTTTTAGGATAAAAGGTGATTCAGGCCACACCCAAGGGAAACTCCTCTTAAGTCATATCAGGGTTGCAACCTGAGTAAGGGTGTTGCATCCCACCCTAATCCCCTTACAACTGATTGACCAATCACATTAAACCACATCACAATCATGGAGGATGATTACATATAATTACCAAATTGCATCATTACATCACTGAGAATAATTGCCCATATATTTGGGGGGAGCCAGTTTAGTCCATGACAGTGCCCATGTGCACTAAGAAGAATAGACAAAAATTCTCAAAACAGCGTTATTTGCAATAATCCTAAATTAGGAAATATCCAAGGGAGCACTAACATTAGAGTCGATAAACTGTAATATAATGGAATACCATACAAGAAGCAATTCAATGAACTGCATGCAGCTAACCATGCAGCATGACTGAATATCATTAACAAAAGAAGACGGACATCAGAGTATGTATCTGGAGTTTTTCTACTGATACATAGTCTAGAACGGAACAAGCCTATACTAACGTGTTAGACGTCAGAGTGGTTAGCTTTGGCGAAAAGGAAGCCCAAGGGCTTTTGATTGCTGGTAATTCCCATACTTTGACCTGACATGGTTACCTGGGCTCACTTTATGATACATTATTGAACTGTATATTTGTGCTTTACATGTTTTTTTAGGGGTTTTATTCTTTAATTTTTAAAAGCCTTTTATTGTGACTTGAGTGAAAGTTTAGAGAGCAAATAATTGTCAATTCAACAATTAATATATTCTCATATCACTGATTTCAAAATAACATCACATTCCACTACCTCCTTGTGTCTCCTGTTTACATTACTCTTTCTTTCCTAACCCTTCCTAGTTGATGTCCCTTTGAGCTTAAATGGTTGATTATTCTAAGGAGTGAGTACCTCTCTAATGCTACTGTTCCCCCTCATAGTCCTACCTGAAGTTTGGATAAAATTTGAGAATCAGGGATGAGTTCAGTTCTAGACACAAAGGGTTATTAAGGGCCATAGTCTTAAGAGTTCCACCAGTTTCTATCAGACAGAAGATCCTAGTTCTTTTATGGTTTTGAGCTTTAGTCTACATTTTTCTTGTATTATATCTAGGGCTTTCTAATATGACCTTATTCAAAGCAGTTGGTAGTGGTAGCCAGGTACCACTTAATTCTTCGGGCCCATTACTTCACTGGACTAATTGCTTCCATATTTCTTCAATCTTAATCACTCTTCTCTCTTCCAGATGGGGAGAAACCAAGAGGTGAACCTTAAATGACTGCTCATGAGCTTTTAAGACTCCAGTCACTACCACTAAAGTAGGATGAAGAATGTTGTCTTTGTGAACTATGATAGGCCAGCTGACCTTGATGTCCCCCGATATCACTCTCTTGATCCCCCGGGCCCAGCAATTCATTCGTTCAATGGATTTGGTTATGTAAAAGAACTTTTCATAACTCTGCCCCTGTATGCTT